CCAATGATAGCAAATATCAATATGCTTCATCCGAGAATGGTTCATCGAGTTCTTGCTCAAGTCCAGAGCACTCTGACTATCACAGTGTACCTTGTATTCCTTCTGTTTAATACCTAGTTCTTGGAGAAACCGCTTTAACCACAACATTTCCTTACCAACTTCCGCTACAGCAATATACTCAACCTCTGTCGTGGATAAAGCTATGCACTTCTACAACATTGGCTGCCAAGACACAGCCCCCCCTACAAAAGTATAGAGAAATCCTAATATAGATTTTCTACCATCAAGATCTCCTGCCATATTTGAATCTATATAGCCTTCCAAAACTAGTTCAACTCCCTGTAACACAAGCATAACTTCGATGTACCTTTAAGGTATCTAAGAATCCACTTGACTACCTCCCAATGTTCTTTCTCTGGATTGGAAAAAAATCTGCTTACCATGCCCACTGCATGGGCAATGTCTGGCCTTGTACACACCATTGCATACATTAAACTCCCAACAGCTAAAGAGTAAGGAACCATTGCCATATCTTTTATCTCTTTCTTCGATGAGGGACTAGAATTCTTACTCAACTTGAAATGATTAGCTAGTAGAATGCTAACTTGATTGCCAGTATCCATTTTGAACCTCTAGATCACCCCGTTCAACGTATTTCTCCTGTGATAGCCACAATTTCTTAGTCTTCCTATTACGAGAAATCTACATGCCTAGTATCTGTTGAGCTGGTCCTAAGTCCTTTATGTCAAAGGACTTGGACAATTCCTTTTTTAACTGGCTAATCTTTGTTGCATCCTTTCCGACGATCAACATGTCGTCAACATAAAGTAGGAGTGCAACGAAATTGCCATCTGACAATCTCTAAACATAAACACACTGATTTGCACTAGTCCTCTTGCAGCCTTGACCCACCATGAATGAGTCAAACTTCTTATACCATTGTCTCGGCGCTTGTTTAAGGCCATACAGACTCTTCCTTAACTTGCAGACCAGATTTTCCTTTCCTAGAACCCCTAAACCTTTCGGTTGTTCCATATAGATTTCTTCATTCAGATCTCCATGAAGAAATGTTGTTTTCACGTCCATTTGTTCAAACTCTAAGTTTAAACTGGCTACTAATCCGAGAATGACTCGAATTGAAAACATCTTCTATTGGAATCCTTTAACGACCAACCGAGCCTTATACTTCACCAGCGCTACCATCTTTCTTCAGCTTGAACACCCATTTATTCCTCAGTGTTTTCTTGTCTTTTGGAAGTTTCACCAGCTCATAGGTTTGATTTTTCTGTAAGGAATCTATCTCATCTTGCATGGCTTGCATCCATTTTTTCTTTATCTTTATGAGCTTGTGCTTCTTGGAAACTCTCCAGCTCCCACTCATCAATAAGTAAAATATAGTTTGACTCCAAATATCTATTCGACAAAATACGTCCTCTTTTAGATCTTTGTGATTAAGGCTCGTCAGCTATATGAGGTATATCACCATCTGATTGATGTGATGGTTCTTCAGCATCTAGTGGAAGGGGTTGCAACTCCCCCTACTCAACACCTTCATCATGTTGTTCTGCTTCTGGAGCTTCATCCTACACTTCGTCACTATCTGTGGCAAACTATAACGGTGCAGGATCTGAAACAATGTCCTGCGCATTGAAACTAGAACTATTAGACTTTGTGGGATTTTTAAAGTCCTCGTATACCTAGTTTTCATGGAACACCACGTCCCTACTCCTGATAATCTTTTTTATCCTTTGGGTCCCATAATCTATATCCGAATTCTTCATCTCGATAGCCTATAAAGATGCATAGAGTGGTCTTGACATCAAGCTTCTACCTCTGCTCCTTGGATACATGTGCAATTGCCTTGCACCTAAAAATTTTTAAGTGGGAATAAGAGGGATTCTATTAGACCACACCTTCCTCAAAATTCAACAGTACTAATGGTGATCTGTTTATTAAATAACAAGCAACACGAAAAATTTCACCCCATAATGGCTTCGGCAGCTTTGTCATACTGAGCATGCATCAAACTCTTTCCACAATAGTTCGATTCATTCTCTCCGCTACACCATTATGTTGTGGGGTACGTGGAACCGTCTTTTCATGTTTGATATCGTAATTACCACAATGGTCTTTGAACTCTCTGGAAGTGTATTCGCCTTCATTGTCTGTTCAGAGACACTTCATCTTCTTTCTTGTTTCCCACTCTACCATGACATGGAATCTTTTGAAGCATCCGAATACTTGGTCCTTTGTCTTTAGGAAGTACACTCACACCTTTCGTGAAGTATCATCAATAAAGGTTAGAAAATATCTATTTTTGCCTAATGATTCCACCTCCAAGGGATCGCAAACATCAGAGTGTACCAGGCTTAACAATTCTGATCTCTTCTTCATAGAGGAACTGAATGAGACTTAATGGTGTTTACCAAACAAGCAATATTCGCAAGGATTAAGAGCAACATCCTTGGCAATTGTGATGAGACCCTTTTTTGCTAAGGTAAACAACCATTTTTCCCCCATGTGATCGAATCTTTGGTGCCACAAATTTCATGAAGCCTCATTTTCACCTGCATTGAGGTTGTCTGAGCAGACCTTCACATGGGTCTTATAAAGCGTGCCATAAATTATCCTCGAGCGACAACCATGACACCTTTTGTGAGCTTTCATGTGCCATTACCAAAGTGGTTATCGTTACCAAGTCTGTCAAGAGCTATCCTAGAAAGTAAATCTAACCGAAGTTTAGGCGCATGTCGAACATCTTTCAACAGCAATGTGCAACCAACCAACATGTATTTTTATTTGAATATCACTAATTTCTACGATCTTAGAAGAATTGGTGTTTCCCATCTTCACCGTACCAAAGTCCCCGGCTTTGTATGTCGAGAAGAAATTGATGTGAGAAGTAGCGTGGTAAGAAGCTGTAATATCTACCACCCACTCGGCATCATGGTTAGAAACATGAAGGAATGTCTCCTCATTAACAGAAAGAATGGCTACATCCCCTGATAGAGTAACTAGCGCCTCTCCATCTTGTTTTTTCGGCTGATTACTACCTTGGTCTTGCTCTCGTAGCAACTTGCGGCAGTTTTTCTTCATGTGGCCCTACATGCCACAATGGTAACACTTGTATTTGGGTCTTCCACCACCATTTGATCTCCCTGGATCTTGTGACCTTCCTCTACTTTTAATCCTTCCTCTTCCCTTGATTCTATCACCTCCTTGTTGTTGTCTATCCCTGCTCTCAATGACGAGAGCATTTGATTGGTTAATCCTGACATCCTTTCTTCTTGCCTCCTCATTGAACAGGGCATCCTTAACCATTGACATGGTAAGTTTGTCTCCTTGTGCCAAATTGCTGAGAGAGACTACTAGCATCTCCCAACTATCTGGTAGAGAACTAAGAAGTATGAGGGCTTGTTCTTCATCCCCCAGCTTTAATTCTAAAAATGATAATTGATTTACCAAGCTCTGAAACTCACTAGTGTGCTGGGCAATTGAAGTTCCACCTTTTAATTTCAGATTTACCAACCGCCTCATTAAAAGGGCTTTATTCCGAGCTGTCTTGGCCTGGTACATGTCTTCCAGCTTCTTCCAGAGAACATAAGCATCGGTCTCTTGTGCAACATGGTGGAATACACTATGGTCAATCCATTGCCTAATTTGACCAATGGTTTTTCTATTCAGTTTCTTCCACTTTGTTTCTTTTGTACGATCTGGATTTATACATTTTACCTCTAAGGGATGGTACAAGTCTTTACTGCTTAAGAGATCTTCCATCCGAGGTATCCAAAGTGTATAATTGGAAGCAATGAATTTGATCATAGCTCCCAATGTTGAATCCTCCATGGACATTTTGTATTTTTAGGCTCTAATATCTCAATCCAAAAAATTTAGGGCTGAATTTCCCAAAACGGAGTGCACCGTTGTGTCCGGAATGATTGAAATAGTTGGGAAAGAGTCATGATTCACCAAAAACGGAGCTAAAATGAGCTCAGAACTTGCTCAAAATATTCTCTAGATAGAATATTCTCTGGGAATATTCTTTGAAAATATTCTCTAGATGGAATATTCTTATATTCTTTGATTGAAATTGAATATTCCTTGAGAATATTCCATTGTCTTCAACCTTCCTCCGGTCATCGGTCCGGTGAACTTTTCCGACAGTAATTCCAGCGACCTCTGGCAGCCGGTGAACTTTTTGGCAAAATTCCGGCAAGAATTGTAAGAGAGCGTCCGACGTCGGATTGATGCGAGGTCAATGGAGTTTGAATTGTTTCGACGAGAGGAATCCAATGGTGCGGTCAAAATTTGATTTCGAGTTCGTTTAGTACCTGTACGAACCAAAAATAGTGGGCTGAAAAGAAAAATCGACGACCCAACCAAAGCTCTGATACCACTTGTTGGTGACCCACGGCCAAAAAATCACATCTAACACAATATAAACAAAGAGGAATACTTTATTTCTCTCTAAGGAAATAAATACAAGAATTTTTCACTAGAAAACTCTCAAGACCTCTCCGGGATCTCTCTCTTTGTTTCTTCCTCACTATTTTGAAATGATTTTGGCATTCGTTAAGACTTTCTACCCAAAAAAAAATGGAGGGCTCTCAAAAATTCCAGCCGTCAAAAAGTCCAGGGGAAAAAAATTTTGGCGACGATTTTCTTGGTGACAACTTTTCCGGCCAAAAAATTGGGACGAGGCTTCTAGATCTTTCATTAGCCATATTGCTAGTGCAGTTGGTACCCCGTTGTATGCTGACACCTTGACTACCAATAAAAAAAGGCATAACTTTGTAAGGATTTGCATGGAGGTGAGTGCGAATGCCAAAACAGAGATCTAACTCAAATATCAGGGTCATAAGACAATGTTGTTTCTATCATACTACTAATGTGTCTATATATATAAAACTAGTTTGACCTGCGAGGTTGTGAGAAACCTACTCTCGGCAAGTTCAGCTATAACTTTTACTTAATATTCCTTAAAAAATGTGTGTGTGTAAAAGAGAGAGAGGGAGAGAGACAGCAGCATGGATTGACACTTACGACGATATAGGCAGCAGTGCATGATGAGACCATTTTGAAACGTCCTAGGTGGGCGTCTGCTGTGTAAGCAACAAAAATCATCAGAACCGACGCCAGTCCTTCCTTTGCGTTCACCATTACCACAGAAGTCCAAAGATTGTTTTCATCCCGCTGATTTTCAAGGTAATCCACTAAGAGTTTCCCGACTGCATTATCTACAAAGCTGTACCCAATTTCCAAACCTACAAGTTGTAACAAGCAGTCTAGTCCAACTAAAATCCATTGCAAACAAAACAACAATAAATGAATTTAAATACTAGGTTTTTTGTATGCTTTGCAAAGTTACCTGAGACTATAATCGCAGACCAACAGAAGACATTGTAACAGATTATCGTATCCTTCACTTTTTTACGGAAGTCTGAGAGCAACTCACCGATCTTCATTATTTTGCTTGGTATGGAAGAAAAATTGAGGGGAATGTGTCCATCATTTTTAATCACTCTACAAATAGGACGAAAGTTCAAAAATTATTTGGAATTTGGAATTAAATTACGCGGAAAAAAAAAGTGTGGTCCATCTATTTTGTCATTTTTTTACGTACTAAGATGAGCAATTATAGTCATTTTTTGGTCATTTGTTTTATTCATTTATCTTCTCATACCATATAAAATAATAAAAAATTGACCAAATTATTAATTTCTTGAATTTTTTATTCATTTTTTTTGAACAAATGGACTTTTTTGCCTTTAAAATATACTACTAAACCTTAAAAAGTCTGAGTAATTAAATAACAAACCTTAGAGAGTCTGGGAGTAATTCTCCCAAAATAATTTGACTCATGTGCCTATGATAAGGGTAATCAAAAGGGATTAATAGAATAAGCAGATGAGATGAAAAGAAACTCGAATAACATCTTAACGAATGGACTAACCAATTAGGCAAAGTGTAGGGTGAATAGAGTGAAAATGCTCTTAGTAGTCAAAAAATCTCATCTCTAGTGGGCAAGTAATGCGGGTATTAATAGCATAGTGCTTGGTAGGTTTTGGCAACTTGTTGCAACCCTTTGACACCCGCGCAAACCCACAACTGCCTCAACCATAGCAATACTAGTGGCTATTAACAAAGGGTCACATGTCCCATCATTAACTAGGCAGATATGGTGTTTTCCCAAATGTAGCCTAAATGCAGCTCCCGATGAGGAGTGTGACAACCGAGACAAAAATGGCCTCCTAAGGTTAATGATTGCGACTGGTCATTAAGGGACCATGACATTGATAGGGCCATGTAAATGATGCCCCTAGCGCGTTCCTACTTGAGATTTTCCATTTCCTCTCTAAACCCTTCCTCGAGATCTTTGTCAAGATGCCTGATAGAGGAAACCCACATAGTTTCGATGTTTTTGCCACCAATCTACATGTTCCATTATCCCATATGTTGATCCGGACCAATAGCTCCCTGTTACCTTAGGAGTCTCTATGCATCCAGTCAAGTACATCCCAGTAGGCCTTGAGCCGTACATTGGGAGGCCTACTCGAGTAAACTAAACCTTCAAGACCTCGTCCTGCCGTTGTTCAATTCTCCCTTAAGAAGGGTCACATTGCCCTGTCCGTAGGTGGGACCCCTCCCTTTTAGTCCATTGGACCAGTCGAGCAATGATTTCCAGTAAGTTTAGGATACAAATTCTGTCATAGGGGAGGCGAGTCTCGACAAGGTTGTCCCCAGATTCTGGCAGTGCCGTTTCACCACTTCCAATGTGATGAGGATGTGTTCCGACCTTCACGGTGCTGGTGCTAGTTGTGGCCTTGGAATGTTGTCGCAACACTAGAGTGTCGTCGTGGCCCTAAGTGCTGCAATGACATTATGGTGCCTGTTGTGGAACTATTGTCCATACGCATTCTTGCCAGACCCTTGTGGGCCCTACTACTATGTCAACTAATGACTACTGCCACTTATTCTTGTGTAGTGTGAACACGTGTCCTAAATTTATTGGGTGCTATATTAGAATGTGGGAAAGGTCCTGTGCCTGCACACCATAGTCTCTCTGCATTTTTTGTTTACTATGTCTATCTTTTGTGCACCAACTGTGGTGCCGTTAAAAAGCAAAAAAAAAAAAATTCTTATGCTGGGCTAGTTGCCCCTTGCATGCATAGGCCTACTTTCTATAGGCTTTGCATGTATGACAGTTACTAGGACGGTGTGTTTTTGTCAATGTTATCAGAATCAAACCGGTCATCGAACCGGATAGGGGATTGGAAAAATGGTTCAGTGGTTCAATCGGTGGGTTAACTGGTTGGACCGGTCATATAATAAAAAAATAAAAATATATATATAATAATTATAAAACATAATAACTTAGATAAAAAAATATAAAATATGTCTAAAATGCAATAGTAGCACAGTAACATCAATAATAGAGCATTTCAATTGCCCACTAAAACTAAGAAAGTCTTAAAAAAATGCATTGATTTTGTGATAAACAATAAAACTAAGCAAGTCTTAAGATATACAATCTGGTCATAAGAAAATAGTTCACCCCATAACCCCAGTTAAGATATGAAATCCATGAAGGATCAACAAGGCAGTTAATTCGGATGCAATTTAGTTTTTGAAAGTAGGACCTTCACAACACAAACAAGACAAATAAATCAGAAATTAAACAACTTGATCCACTATTCAACAAATCCCCACTGTTTCAAAAGAAGGGAACAAAGATAAACACCCAATTAACAACAATTGATTCCCCAAATCCAAATCTGTAGAATTAATTAACCCTAATAAAGGATGAAAAAGAATAATAGTCTCGATGCAAATAAGGATGACCCATTTCCCAAATTTTCAGATCTACATGAAATCAAGCAAGAATTGTCAAAGCAGATCAAGAAAAAACTGTATTCAAGCATGAATGTATCTACCTTTGTATACATAATTTTGTGTGTGTGAGAGAGGGGGGGAGGGGGAGGAAGGGGTACCTTTCGTTACAGCCCTCCTCCTCTCTCTCCTCCTATTGTTTTCTTTCTCCCTCCATGTTGGCTTCCTCCTCCCAGCCGCTGTTGCTGCAACTGATGATGACAGTGTTGATCCTCCATCCCAAATCATCTCTCTCTCTCTCTCTCTCTCTCTTGTATTCAAATTTAATTGGTCGCTATTGTTTTCTGCGATTTAGGGCAAAAAATTAGCCCAAATAAAAAAAAATGATTCTAATATAAGTTGATGATACCTGAAAAGAATTCTAGCTAAGTATGAACTCGGGAAGAGAGGTCAGATAAGATATCCAGGGCTTAGTGGTCCAGACCTCGAGTTCTCCTTAAAGGAAACAATAAGGGAATCGAGAAGGAAACAATTGGTTGGTGGAAGGCGCCCGCGCCTTCCAAGCAACAGAAAGCTATAAACAAGACACTAAACTCCCAACTAACCAAGATCCTCTCCTCAAAATCAAGGAAGATCCGATGGATGGAAGGCAAAGATCTTGCTACAGATCCCATAAAGTTAATAATTAGACTATAAATATTGTATAGTGCCTCCAATACGAGGCAAGAAATTTCGGTTGTATAAGAAACACCCTGTAAATCGCTTAGATCATTATTACAAATCCAAGGAGCAAGAGACTCCGTTAAAGAATGAATTAGCCGAGCTCCCAAGTTGGTGAACAACTATAACTTCACTGTGCAAATCATCCCAATTCCCCAAAGAATTTTTACCATAATCCTCTAGAACCTAGTAGCTTTGATCTAGCCTTACTTACATGATTCATTGATTATGTTCATCCACGTAATTAACACCATCAGTTTGGTGTTGTTTGTGGGAATGATTGCTCCTGTTACAAATACGCTAATCTTTTAGTAATTGATGGTCTCAATACACAACATAAGCAGAAGCTAGATAAATCTCCCACGGATGCAGAACCAACAAGAGGCCACTACTGGTAGGCAACAAAAAAATCTTCAAGACTTTTTCCCTACTACCGAGGTTAATCCTCCCATGATAGATCCCCCTATGAATAACAAGTTGGAGGCTCTTCGCCTAGTTAACCAGCGTCTAATTCAGTAGAATGAAGAGCTCTTAAACCTCTTGCAAGGTCCTTAGTAGACAAGACTAACCCAAGGAGATCCCCCACAAGGGGAGCATCGACACCTCGGCCCCCTCAGGGAAGCTAACAAAGGAGGAGAGAATAGCTAGGCTCCCCAGCCACCTCCTAGGAATGGTGACAATGAAGAAGTGCAGAGTCAAAACGATGGGAACGAGAAAAATAATTTTTGCCCTGTCCAACAGGAAAGAAGAGAGCAATACTGGGAGCAACGCTTCAGGGACATCCAGTAGGAGCTCAGTCACATGAAGGGAGCCATGAGAGGTAAAACTCCCGTAACGATGGATGCCTTGGTGTAGCAAACTGAGTCCCCATTCACTGCTGGGGTGTTGCATTTCCCCTTCCCTCCAAAATTCAGCATGCCCCAAGTGGAGGCTTTTGATAGGACCAAAGATCCTATGGATCACCTCAATACCTATAAGAAACCAGATGGAGTTACATGGATACCATGACCCTGTGCGATGCCAAGCCTTTGCCATCATGTTGAAGGGCTTAGCCTTGGCTTTGTTTAACAAGCTACCCCTAACGTCGATCTCTTCCTTTAAGGCGCTTTCCATATCTTTTATGCCCCATTTTATAGGGGCTCAGATCTACAAAAAGTCGAGCTATCACCTATTGAATGTGAAAAAAGGACCTAGCAAAAATTTGCGATCGTATGTCCAAAGGTTCAAATCAGAATCCCTGAAGGTGAACGTTCCAGATGAGAAATTTGTCATAGCTACGTTCATTGCTGGTCTAGGAGTGTAGTCGAAGGGCTTGATGTTCTCCATATCAAAAAACCCACAAGCAAGTATAGCAGAAGTGCTAGCCAAGGTAGAGAAATATATTACTAGCGAGGAAGCCATCCTTTCTAAGGCAGGGAGCTCACCATCGCAGAAAGAGAAAGGGAATGAAGAGAAAAAGGGAGAGAGGCAAGTCTCCAAGAAGAGACAGAGAACAATCCCCCAAGAGAAGGGAAAATGTCAGGGATCACTTAGGTCCTCTGCAGCTAGAACTGCAACTGAGGTATGAACCTCAACAATTCACCCCTTTCACCACCAGTGTCTTAGATCTTGTATAAAGTACAGAATGAGAAGTTTCTAAGGTGGCCACCTCGAATGAAGGCAGATCCTGCAAAGAGAGATCCCGCAAAGCACTATGGGTACCACAAGGATCATGGCCACCACATCGATGATTGCATCCAACTAAAGAAAGAGATTGAATTCCTAATCCAATGAGAGTAGTTACGCTGCTTTATTGCCTATAATAATCAGAACCGAGCTCCACCATCTCTAACACCTCCGCAGTAAGCCCCTATGCAACATTAACAACCACAGGGGAAAATCGAGTGATATCTAGGGGATTTGTAGGAGGTAGGGA